GACAGAGGTCTCACACAGTGTGCATATGGACTAACCACTCTAACTCAGCTGATCTGGAGCACACTGCTTTCACTTTTGAGAGCTGTGATTTAGAAACTCTTAGGTAAGTGGCATGTGCTCATAGGAGAACACCATGAGCTTTTAGAATTGTACCAATAGAAAGGAACAAAAAGGAAGTGGAGGTATTTCATCTGATTGGGAGAAGATAAACATGGTTTAATTTCAGGAGGAATTAAATAACTTTTACAAGAGTATTTAAAATTGTTTTGTGTCACCATAAACCCCACTCACATATTAGGCATGAGAAATTTGGGTTGTGAGCAAATTTAGGGATGTCTTATCTTCAGTTCTAAGCCTGTGTTCAGTGATATTCCTGGTGTGCAGACCAGTGCAGGCAGGGGGTTCCTCCTCCAATAGACAGTTTCTGAAGCCAGGCACTAGGTATTGGGCTCAAGTGGTAAGCTGTTGAAACCTCACATCACATAAGTATTTACTCATTTCCTTTGGTGATTCTTAGAGCCTGATTCCATGAATATAGCACCTGCAATTCTCAGAATTGCCATGAAAGAGTGCACTCTGGTGAAGGTCGTGGATTTGAAGCTGTCACAGACCTGCATTCAAACACTGATGCTCTCATGCAACCTGTGGAACCCTGGAGGGAGAAATGGGCCTTCTATAAAGATTATACGGAATACCACGTATGGAGGGGCTAGCATCTAATATGTATTCAACAAATTCTTGCCCAAACCCCTTACCCCCCTATTACATAATTCACATGAGAGAAATAAAGTGAAAACCTTGGGGACATTTTCTGTTCCCCGTGTGTGGGGTCAATCTGAAGTTTCCATGCCTCCATTCTGTGTTCCATGTCTTCTTTCCTAATTATGTGCCAGGAGGTTTATGAAGATAATAACAAATTATCTGCCAACTTTAAGATGCTAGAAAAGATCTTCAAGATGCTTGAAGATCTGCCATCTTCAAGATGTCTTGAAAAGAATAATTTGATTTCTAGATTGGTCACTTACCTTCTGTGGCTAGTTGTCTCAATTACTTCATCAGCTTTATTCAGTTACTTGTTTGTAGAGAGTGGTTTCAAATTATAAACAACCAACTCGCCCAAGTTTGCCCTTTGACAGAAAGGAATTCTAAAAAAATACAATATCATCCATCATAAAGGACATCACATTTGTTAATTTATTCCAGAACCTATACCACCCTCTTACTCTGTGCAGGCCCAGAGTAAAGTGACTTTGAAATGAAAGTATGAACAGGATATATTCTTGTCATTGAATCACTTAAATTAAGAGAAAATTTTCATGTAAATCACTCTTTACCTACAGCATTGCTAGACAAATCTCTTTGTTAACATGCACATGTGCTGATTAAAGCTCCTGTGCATGGAAGGGGGCTGGCATTTCTCTGGCTGTCCCACCAGTGTCTTAGAGACCCTGGGTTCTCCCTCAGTCAGGAGGCTTCTCTACTTTATGTGTGCTCTCTGAATTCCTTCCACAGAAGCACAGAGGTGCCTGGGTGCAGGTGCCCCTCAGCCAGCCAGGGGAATCTGAAGCTGTGTGAACAGAAGATTTTAGGCAACTTTAGCTCAATGAATCATCAACAGAGCCTTTGGGAAAAAGAAACAGTAAAAATCCAGGATGCAGCTGCTGAAATGAAAAGCAGCACAGATCCTTTTATTCTTTTTAAAGATTTTATTTATTTTTAGACTGAGGGGAAGGCAGGGAGAGAGGGAGAGAAGCATCAATGTGTGGTCGCCTCTTGCGCTCCCTCTACCGGGGACCTAGCCCACAACCCAGGCACTGGGAATTCCCTTAATTCCTCTGACTGAGAATTGAACCAGTGACCCTTTGGTTCACAGGCTGGTGCTCAATCTGCTGAGTCACACCTGCCAGAGCAGCACAGATCTTTTTAAAGACCAGAAGCAGGAAGGAAAGCCTGCATCATTGACTGTTGCTTTTGAGGATTTTTTGAGGTGTGTGCTGGTTGTTCTCCACATCTCCCCCACTCCGCCCCCGCCCCTCCCCCCACACTGTGGAGTGGGCTGAGTTTGAGGCTAGGAGAATGCAAATCCCTAAAGCAGGAGTGTCAAACTCCTTTTCATCAGGGGCCACATGAACCTGGTGGTTGCCTTCAAAGGGCTGAATGTAGAGCTCCTTGCCCCTAGTTAAGGAGTAGTTACATTTATACAGTCCTAAAATTACATTTGGCCCTTTGAAGGGAGGCTGATGTGGCCCCCAGTGAAAATGAGTTTGACACCCCCACCCTAAAGCTAAGACAGTGATGAAAAGGACCCAGGCTAGGGAAGGAAGCATGGATGCCCAAGGGAGATGGTTTCAGGAGCCCAAAGCCACAGTGATAAAGACATTAGCAAGGGAAAACGGAAGGTCAGGTCAGAGGATGGAGGACTCCATGTTGCCAGAGAAGGCAAAACACCAATGAAGAAGGGGATGGCATTAGGGGTGGGGGTGGGGTAGCTTAATGGACTGGAACTATGCACGCTCTCAGTGAGTCAGGGGATGGAGTCAGGGTTGGCAGAGGTGGGGGGACCAAATGGGGTTGTACCAGCACAAATGCAGAGATGTTTTATTCACTCCAGAAAAATGATCATCAGACAAGAGAAGTTTAAATTAGACAAACCATACTCAACAAGAAAGTTCCCCGAAGGCCCTTCACAGAGCATTTGTAAATAAGTGACATCAAGTTAATAACCTAGCCCACTGCTTGCCTGAAGATGGAACAGAGCCTTAGTGATTCTAGAACCAGACAGGGGAGACATGCCATCTGGCACTGGCTATCCCCTCCACTGTGTCCTCCTGAAGACCACTGTGACCCTCCTCAGCAGAAGCCAGTCACCTCCTCTTACCTCCTAGACACCAGGCAATCTGCATTAATGTGCGCTGTACTATCAAGTTGTTCATACATTTGAACAAATATGTTGCTTGGTTATGTCTCTAAATAAAATACAAACAGGGTCTAGTATCTCCCAGAGTCACAGTGATAAAAAGCCTGATCATATATATAAAATGCAGAAAAATATGGATCTCACATTTGAGATCATGTGATCACCTTTGAAGTTCTCTAATCCATTAGCTTCTAGGATAAAGTGTATTGATTCTGTATATTCCTTTATTCACTTATTTATTAACCTAGTATTTATTGGGTGTCCATATGTGCCAGTCACTCTTCAAGGTACTGGGGATACAGCACTGAATCAAACAGAAAAACATCCCTCTGTCCTCACTAGTCTTCCACTCACTTTGCTATGTTTCCTCTTTTTCTTTAATTAAATATGCTTATTACATGCCAGGACTTGTGTTAAGTGTGTATTATCCATTAGCTCATTTGACCCTGAGTGGCACTAGCACTGTCCTCACATGTTAGATGAAGTGGGGCCTATAAAGTTGACACAGCTCCTTTAAAGCCCCTCAGTGAGCAAGTCTCCAGCCTGGGTTTAGAGTATACTTCTCTGTCATGGAAGCCTCTGCTTTGCTTTCTTTGGTAACCTCAGGTTTTGCTCATATTGTCCATGTCTATTCTTAACAATCTATCCATTTTCATTATCCAGCTAGCCTTTTGGCAGATAGTCTCAAAGCTTTTAGACTCTTCCTTCTGCCAAAGCTACAGGCCAAGCCCTGGTCCTTAGAATAAGGAGGAGTGTCATGGGAGGGTGCCACAAGGACCTGAATCATTTGGCCTGGCTTCCACTGGGACCTTATCTGCTGCCACTCTTCTTCATCTGGCCACATAATTCCCTGCCTGGGGCTGGAGTAATGGGTGAATCTGGCTCTCTCTACCATGGCTCCTGTGGACTTTGCCCTCTCACTGTCCTGCTCACCACAGCCCCTTCCCACCTGTGGTTTGCACTCACCCTTCAGATGTTAGCTTGGAGACCCCCGAGGGTCCCACCTGATCCCATAGGCTGGTTTAGAGTCCTCTGTTATATTCTTGAAGCACTAGAAAGTTTCCTTATCCCAGTTATTGGCTCCTTGAGAGCTGGACCACATGTCTTTTGCTCACCTTGTGTCTGAGAGCCCGGCTACCTGAGTAGATTGCTGAAGATATGCCTACCATCACTTCAAGTTCAACAAAATGGAAATTACATTTTGCTCAGAAGGCAGACATGTCTATTTTCCTGTGACCTAATACCTCACCAAATTCATCCTCAGTCAGGATCACATACTTTCAAATCATCTTGCTCCTTCCCTGTCCTTCTCAGTCTCCCCATGACACAGGTGCAGCATTGATGGCCTCTGCTCATTGTCCTTCTGAGGAACGTCTTGGCCTACAGCATTGTCACCTTGGTAATTTGCTTTGCAACAATCAGAATGCCCCGCAGGCTCCCATGCCCAGGACCCTCTCTGAATGCAGCCAGATACTTATTCAAATGTTCTGAATGTTAGTGGACCATAGACCTATCATCACACACACATCTGTCAGGGCATCTATCTTCCCTTCAGCTCATCTACTAATTATTTTTTAATCATGAACTAATTAATAGGAGGTAGAGAGATTAAGGTTTGGAAAAGATATATTAAGAAATCATTATGTATGTAGGGATGAGGAGGACACAAACACAGTGGAGGAAGGAGCTCAGCCTGTCTCCAAATTTACTGGTGGTAAAAACACAAGCAGAGTAAGGCGCATAGTGAAGGGCTCCAGTTAGAAACGTCCAGTTGACTGGGGACCTAAGTGTTAATTTACCCTGGTGGCCCAGGGCCTGTGCATTGTTGCTTATCACTGGGAATGGCTCCTCCGGCCTCCTGACCCCAAGCCTGAGAATAAAATCCGTGGTGTGCACACTCATCCTCAAGCAGGGCCCCTCCCGAGCGTGCAGACCTGACTGAGATGATAGTGCAGGGAGCGGGTGGCAGGGCCCCTCCCAAGCGTGCAGACTGCACTGAGATGATAGTGCAGTTAGCAGGCATCAGGCCCCCTCCCTCCCGAGCAGACCAGAGGGAGGTAGCACCAACCGCGAGGCCAGCAGCATGGCCGAGGGGTCGCCTAGGCAGCGGCTGAGCGAGGAGGCGCGGTGCCCCGTGTGCCTGGACTTCTTGCAGGACCCGGTCAGCGTGGACTGCGGCCACAGCTTTTGCGTGCGTTGCATCTCCGAGTTCTGCGACAGGTCTGACAGAGAGCAGCGAGGCCTCTTTGCCTGCCCTCAGTGCCGCAGTCCCTTCACGCGGGAGGGCTTCCGGCCCAACCGGCAGCTGGCCAGCCTAGTGGACAGCGTGCGGTGGCTGGGGCTGGACGAGGGGCCCTCCTGGGCACAGTGCACACTGCACGGCCAGGAGCTCAGCCGCTTCTGCGAGGAGGACCAGGCCGCCCTGTGCTGGGTGTGTGACTCTGGCCCTGGGCACCGAGGTCACCACACGACACCGCTGCAGGAGGCCACCCAGCGCCACCAGGTGAGCTGTGCTTGCAGATGCACTGGCAGGCTGACTGGCCTGGAAGATACTTCCGACCACAGCAGGCCCAGCAGAGGTGCCCTGACCTTCCAGAGACACGGTCCGGTGCCACCACCTGATCCCAAGGACTTTGTGCCTACCACTGCGCCCCCCGCCCCCCCCCCGCCCCCCCACCCCGCGCTCTTGCCCCTCTCTCCCACACTCCTCCTACCCTACATGACCCAGATACTCGACTTCACATGCTCCCAGCGCCCTGCCCCCGCTCAACTCTCTCTCCCCAACTTCCCCGCGTCCCTGACATTCCCCCTCTGAGCCACACCCCCCACAGTGCACTTAGGTGGGTTGGGGTATCCCTGACTTTGCTCCAGAATAACCTCATCTGGGACCCCTGTTAAGGAGCTCAGATGCACATTCCTTGCAGGCATGGCCCACCTTTTGGCATTTCTGGGCCACATGGGAAGAAGAGCTGTTCTGGGCACCACATTAAATACACAAACATTAACGGAAACTGGTGAGCAAAAAACAAAGAAACAAAAAAACCCAAACAGGTTTTGAGTAAATTTATGATTTTGTGTTGGGCTGAATTCATAGCTATCCTGGGCCATGGGTTGGATATCCCTGTGAAGGACCACTCTGCCTGGTAGCCTTCCCCTCAGGTACCCCTTTTCCCAGGCTGATAGTCAGGGTCCCCCAGCTAGAGCCCTAGCATCAGCGCTGTGGGCTTGGTTACAAGGGTGAAGGTTTTTGGTGAACACATTCTAACCACTACCATTGGCATTCTGCCTTCCTTTTACATAATGTTGATCTCTACCTTAAATAATACTGTTATCAAAACAACCATGAGGTCTGAGCATTAGTTAAGAATAGTGCCTGGCTGGACACAGGGCCCTGAAATAGGAATCCAGGAGGTAAGGGCACAGGACAGGTCTGTATTCAACTCATATTTGAGGGCTCAGGATGTGAGCACTTCAATGAACAGGTGCTTCCTACCAGTATTTGGCTCCCAAAAGGGATATCTGTGACACTCTATAAATAGAGTTCTCCATCCTGGTGCTCTTCTAAAGTTCTTGGACATACTCTGAACACATTTAAATTTGTGACATCTACAACAGCTACTAGCACAAAGAAGGTCAGAGTCTTGTTTAAACTGACATATTTTCCTGAAATAGGATGACAATGAAATAAATTAAAAATACTTAAAAAAAATTTTTAAGCTTGGTTTTATTGTTTAAAAACAAGATTTAGGGTATTTATCCCTGAAACTTCCTTCTGGACTTTCCTAGAAACATCTCTGAGTTTTCTCCTTGGTTTTGGTTGCCATCTACAAAACTCAGATGCTGGCTATTTTCTAGCTAGTTTTTTTGTAGAATGTTTCTGTCTTTTTTTTTTTTTTCATCAAAAGCACCATACAGAGTATGGCTAGTGTAATATTTCTAGAGTCGTTTTTGGTATTTTAGTAGTCTTTCAATTAAATACCAAATAAATATCTTCTGAACTTCTTTGCCTTTGTCTTGATTTGCTGGGCTCTATGTTCTATTTGTATTGTTGTCTTAACCCACTGAGATCCAACAACACTGGCCTACTAGCTGCTCTCCCCAACCCTGCCAGGCCTTAGTCACCTCATTGATTTTGCCAGTTTCTCCTGTGGGAGGGAGCTTCTTTCCATCTATGTGATTCTACTCCTTGCAAACACTAAAACAAATGCCATTTTGATCATGTTAATTCCACCATGAATCCTACTATATTTTATCATCATTATGGTATGTCATCATCATCATCATCATTATTATATATGTATATGTTTTTATTTATTTAGAAATAATTGGTGTGTAGGAGTTGTGAATGACTTTGGCACATTTTTTTCCCCTGAGACTTATTGAATAGCTTTGAGTAGAGTTTTAAAATGTGTGTGTGTGTTCTCTGTAAGTAAAGTACGTGCCTACCTCTAGCGGGGGCCTAGGGTGGAAAGGAAATTTAGTTTTCATTAAATTATTTTCTACTCTTTGTAAGACTTACAACATTCTGTATTTCTTTTTCATTGAATAAATTCTAACTTACATGATTTCTTGTTGCCTAATACTAGTAAACACTTTTCTGATTATAAAGTAGTAAGTATTTTCTGAAGTTGACACGTATGGGTGTAGGAATAACATCCTTTCTCATTCAGACACTAGTAGGTGTCTAGTAGGTGAGGTTTTGTTTTTGTTTTTTGAACATTTTTACTGACCTCTGCCTAGTTTTTATATATTCCTTAAAGCACATATTTTTCCAAAATTGGTATGGTATTACATAAAATATTCTTATTTTAGTTCACTTTAAAATTGTGAGCACTTCTTATTATTAAACACTTTCTTCTTGTTATTAGACACCTTATTTTAATTTCATCCTGTTAGTGTAAAATATATTTTTCTTACTCCCTACTTTAAAAAAATTATTGGATTATTATTTATTAATTAATGTATTATTTTCTTTTTTCTGTTACTTTTATTGTATTTTTCATTACCATTTATACCTCTGTCCTTCCAACAATCACACACTATTGTTCATGTCCATGAGTCCTTTTTCCTTTTTGCTCAATCTCTCCACCCCACCACCCCCTCCCCCCATAGCTGTCATCCTGCTCTCTATCTATGATTCTGTTTCTATTTTGCTTGTTAGTTCAGTTTGTTCACTAGATTCCACATATGAGTGAAATCTCATGTTTGTTTTTTTTTTCTTTCTCTGACTGGCTTATTTCACTTAGCACAATGCTCTCTAGGTCCATCCATGCTGTTGCAAAGGATAAAATTTTCTTCTTTAACATTTTGGTTAGTTACAGGTTTACTATTTTAAATAATGCCACAGTGAACATACTTTTACTAAATCTTTGGTTATGTCTGGCATTAACATTAAAAGTGTATGTATGTTTAACTTAGCTATAATGAGGTTGGGCATCTTTGTGTGCTCACTGGGCCTGTTCTAGGTGATCTCTGTGTTGCCTGATGCACCTGGTTGGGACAGGTACTACATGAGGGTTTCTGTAATGGTCTCAGCATATCTTCCCAAACAGGCAAATCTCCAGACGGCCCTAAAACTTGTAAGGAAGGAGATGGAGGAGGCGTTGAGTCAGGAGACCAACCTTGGGAAGAAAACTGTCATTTGGAAGGTATGAGAATATTGTTACTTCAGGAGGCTTGCCTACCTGAAGGATCCAAATTTGGGTCATTATATCATTCTTCCTTGCTCGAACACTTTTGTGACATCTCTATCCTTCTTAGCTGTAACCCCAACCTGAGTTATAAGGAGATTTGCTGACCTGGCTGTCACCAAAACTCACTGACTCACCCCTACAGCCTCGAGCAGAGTCTCATACTGCCACTGCGAGTGTGAAGACTGGCCTTTCTGGATGAATGAATGCTAAACATCTCTTAGCATTGATGTAGATGCTAAGACACGATCACTTGCATATAGAGAAGGATCGTCTGAATGTTCAGCCTCTTTATCATATATGTGTTCTCTCTTCTATACATCATTGGCTCGTTGTTTCTTTTAGTCACTTACACACAGAGAATGGTTCTCATATGGGTGGTTTTGCCTTCTAAAGTGAATTTTGCAGTATCAGTAGATATTTTTTGTTGTCACAACCGGGGGCTGGAGAGTGTTACTGGCATCTATTGGTAGAGGCCAGAAATGCCACTAAGCAGCCTACAAATGCACAGAACAGCCCCTAAAACTCACAGTAAGGAATAATCTGGTCATATACCAAATAGGGTCTATTTAGATTGAGAAACTATATATATAAACTATATATGAAATATAGTATACCATATAGAAAATTTATAAAATATTACTTTTTTTATAGGGTTAGAAATAGGTTTTGAGTTAAGGTTAATGTTAGGATTAGGGTTAGATTTAGGGTTAGGTGTAGGGTTGAGTTTTTGATTCTTTGAGGATTTGAGTTTTCAGGTTAGGGTTAGAATTAGCTCTGAGGTCAGAGTTTGGGTGTAAATAAATTAGGATTAGGGTTAGGATAAAGGCTACGGTTAAAGTTAGTTTTGAGTAAGGGTTGGGGTGAGGGTTAGATTTTAAGTTAGTGTTACATGTAGAGTGGGGTTATGATTAGCATTAAAATTAGGTTTGAGTTTAGGATTAGAGTTAGGTTTAGTGTTAGTTTTGAAGTATTAATTAGGCTTAGTATTAGATTTTGGGTTAGGGTGAGGAGTAATGTTGGGTTAGGGTTAGGGTTAGGTTTGCCTTAGTGTTAGGGTTAGAATTACAATAAGGGTTAGGTTGAGTTTATGAGCAGGGTTGGGCTTAGAGTTAGCTTTAGTTTTACACTTAATGGGTACATTAAGATTATGGTTAGAGGTTGGGTTAGGGTTAGGTTTGGGTTTAGTTTTAGACTTGAGATTATGGTTAGGGTTAGAGATAGCTTTAAGGTTCGGGTTTAGGTTTAAACTAGAGCTGAGGTTAGGGTTAAGTTGTGAGTTAGGGTTAGATTTACCTTTAGGGTTAGAGTGAGCTTCAGGGTTACAATTAGTGTTTATTTTATGATTAGAGCTAGGGTTAGTGTTAAGGTTAGAGTTAGCTCTGAGATCAGTGAAATGGTTTAAATTAGGGTTCAGGGTAGGGTTAGTTTTAGAGTTAGGTTTAGGTTTGGGATTAAACAAGTTTAGGATTTACTTTATTTTATTTTTTTTTAAAGACTTCACTTATTTATGTTTAGAGAGAGAGGAAGGGAGGGAGAAACAGGGACAGAAACATCAATGTGTGGTTGTCTCTCATGTGCCCCCAACAGGGGGCCTGGGAGACATGTGCCCTGACTGGGAATCAAACTGGAGACCCTTTGGTTCGCAGGCCAGCACTCAATCCACTGAGCCACACCAGCCAGGGCAGGACTCACTTTATGTTTAGGGTTAGGGGTAAGTTTAGTGGTATAGTTATCTTGAGATTAGGGTTTGGGCTTAAATTAGAAATAAGTTTAAGGTTAGGGTTTGGTTAAGTGCTAGGGTTAGGTTTAATTTTAAAGTTAGAGTTGTGGTTAAGGTTAGGTTTTGAGTAAGGGTTTAAATTTATGCTCAAGGTTAGAGTTAGTTTTAGGGTTAGAGTTACACTTATGGTTGATTTAATGATTAGCATTAGGGTTAGTAGTAAGGTTAGACTTAGCTTTGAGGTTAGCATTTAGGTTAATTTATTTTTAAAATTTTATATTTGTTTCAGGTATATACTGTAGTGGTTAAGTAATTATATAATTTATGAAGTAAACCCTGATAACTTTAGTACCCACCTGACACCACACATAATTATTACAATATTACTGATTATATTTCCTATTCTCTACTTTACATCCTGTGAATATTTTATAACTTCTTACTCCCTCCAACTTTTTCACCCATCCTTCCCACCTCGGTTTCCTCACTGTATCTGTCTATGACTCTGTTTCTGTTTTGTTTGTGTATTTATTTTGTTCTTTAGATTCCACATATAAGTGAAATCATATGGTTTTTGTCTTTCTCTGTCTGACCTATTTCACTTAGGATAATAACCACTAGGTCCATCCATGTTGTCACACATGGTAAGATTTTGTTCTTTTTTATAGGTAATATTCCATTGTATATAAGTACCACTTCTTTATTTAACCAACTGTTGATGTTCACTTAGGTTGCTTCCATGTCTCTGTTATTATAAATAACACTGCAGTGAGCATAGGGGTGCATACATCTTTTCACATTAGTGTTTTTGTATTCTTTGGATATATTCTCAGAAGTAGAAGTAGTAGAAGTAGAATTAATTAATTCTCAGAAGTAGAAGTAGAAGTAGAACTTCTACTTCTGGGTCATAAGATATTTCTATTTTTAATTTTCTGAGGAATCTTCACAATGGTTTTCATAATAGTTGCACCATTTTACACCATAAACAGTGCATTAGTGTTTCCTTTTATCCACATTCTCACCAACACTTGCTGCTTTTTTATTTATTAATGATAGCTATTCTGATAGGTGTGAGATAACATTAAACAATATCTTTTGGCCATCTATAGCTCCTTTTTTAGAGAATATCTATTCAGGTCTTCTGCTCATTTTTTAAAAAGATTTTATTTATTTATTTTGAGAGAGGGAAGGGAGGGAGAAAGAGAGAGAGAGAGAAACATCAATGTGCAGTTGCTGGGGGCCATGGCCTGCAACCCAGGCATGTACCCTGACTGGGAATCAAACCTGAGACACTTTGGTTCACAGCCCGCACTCAATCCACTGAGCTACGCCAGCCAGGGCTTCTGCTCATTTTTAAATTGGGTTGTTTGTATTTTTGGTTTTGAGTTATATGAGTTCATTATGAATTTTGGACATTAACCCCTTAATGTATATATTATTGGTGAATATATGCTTTCATTCAGTAGGTTGTCTTTTTGTTTCATTGTTTTCCTTTGCTGTACAAACCCTATTTAGTTTGATGTAGTCTCATTTGTTTATTTTTTCTTTTGTTTCCCATGCCCAAGGAGATGTATCAGAAAACTTATAACTAAGAGTAATGTCTGGGGGGGTTAGCCAGGGACCAGCTGCTGTTACCCTCTGCTCTCCTGGTGATAAGACCATTGGGAACTCTTAGAGTTTAGGAAAAAGAAAACAAGGGGTCCTGAGATGGTGGCTTAGTTGAAGGAATCGTGAACCCCTTCCTCTGTGCAGGGGAGAAAAACTCGTGGATCAGCAGAGGAACAGAGCAAGGGGCATAGGATATCGAAACATTTATGAAAACAAGACATCAAAAATTATAGTGGACATTGAAAAACCAGATGGTAAGGAGACTGCTTCAGGACAACAGGGACTCAGGGATCAGCTCGGGGACCAGGGGGGTTGCAGTCCCCAGGCCCTGTGCTCTCAGGTCTGCTTCAGGGAACCCAGGAGAGCGGAGTTGCTGCTCCCTCCCCGGACAATGGGGGCTGAGCAACACCAGGGGAGGCCTTGTTGCTTTAAGGCACAGAGAGGGGAGTTGGACTGGGAGACAGTCTTGCAGGGCTGCTGGCACTCAAGCGTAGCCCTGGGAGGGGTGAGTGCCCCCAGCCGGTGCTACCAGAGGCAGCCTGGACGTGCGCCCGCGCCCCCAGCCCGGTGGGAGTGTTGATCTGTGGAAAACACAGACCTCACAGCCCTGAATAAGGAAAGGGCATGGGGGTTCGCTAGTTTCTGGAGCTTGTGGTAGTGAACTTGAGGAAGCGTGCGCCCCTTCAGGATTCCCGACTCTGGCGCTGTGAACCCGGAAGGGACGCCGCATTTTGGGGGTTCCTGGAACTGGCAACGGGGAAATTGGTGGAAGTGTGTATCCGTTCGCAATCTCCAGAGCTTGTGCCGTGAATCCAGAAAATATGCAGGTGCTTCCCGAGAACATAGAGCCCACTGCAGTGAAATTTGGCAGAAAGGCGTGTCTCCTTGCGATCCCTGGAGCTTGCACTGTGAATCCAGAAAAGATGCAGGAGCTCTTAGGGGTCCGGAGCCCGGGAGACCGCGACAGTGAGCTCTGGAGAGCGTGATCGGGAGCACCAAGGGTCCTGCGGGGGAAGTCGGATTGGCTCTGCAGAGAGTGCCCGGCTGGCCCTGGGGACAGTACTTGAGAGACTGACTGAGTTTTGACTGGGAAGACTGATAAGCATTTGAAAGGGCCCTCAGCCTGCTGAAGCCAGCAAGACCAGAAAAACTGGTCTGGCCAGTTACAAACTGACAAGAGGTGGGTTTGTTTGTTTGTTTGTTTGTTTGTTTTTTGCCTTTTTTTTTTGGCTGTTGTTATTGGTTGATTGTTTGATTTTATCTTGTTTTTTAAGTGACTTTTTATTTTTAATTCTTCTTATTTTTATATCTCTCAATTCCTTATGTTTCTCTTCCTTTCATCCTAGTATTATTCCTTCCACTCCAAATTTATCTCTCCTGCATTCCACCTTCTGCTTTTTCCCCCTTTTTTCCCTGAGCTTACAAGTTACTGCAAATTTGTATTATCTTTTTCTCACTTTTCTGACATTTTTTATTTTAATAGTATTTTGGTATTCTTTTTCTTTCTGTATAATCTTCTTTGCTTGGCTGGTTATACTGTCATTTTTGATAGGTTCCCCCTGTTATCTCAGTCACAGTGTATTGATAATTTACTATCCTTCGTCTGTGTTCCATTATACACCTCTCA